CCAAATTGTTCATAGTTGGCCGAGCAAAATTTGAGAATTCTCAAATATATGATTTTTATAAATTCATATACGAAGGTGTTGCGCACCCTATTGCTAGTCCCCTAAAGTGGGGACAATGTTTATGGGCTTATTTACAGTTATATCAGTGCAATATTTTGTTTAAAAATTCTATGTAATTTATGAAAAATTTTAAAAACTAAATCATGAGCGGTCCTTTAAAAAGTCCTTTTCGAAAATTCGAAGTCGTTTCCTTTCCATTTTTATAATTGTATTTTCGTATAGAAACCCTAGATATTTGTTGAACTTTCAAAAACATTCTTAGGCGGATGTGTGATATTTATTTTAACAAATGAAAAATCGGAAGTAAAAACAGGTTTTTTTTTATCTTATCATCGTTTCTTTAAAATAACCTTGAACGTTATAAATACATTTTTAGAATTTATTCTATAGTTGTGATTTCAAATAATGAACTAATGAAAACTTTTTTTAAATTAAGTATGTACTATTAGGGAAATTTTTAATATAAGTTTATTTTTAACAAATTTTAGAGTTTATATTTCGAAATTATACAGAAAACATTTAAAAATACGAAATATTCATACTATTCACACGATTCATGATATTTATTTATTACAAAGTTCATTCAATTACATTCAATATTGAATAAGCTTTCGTTCTCGATAAGGAGGCTTTTTTGAAATTTACTAGCAACACCCAGTATGCTTCGCTACCATGAAAACATTAAAGGATTTTTCATATTTATTTTTTACGGAAAAAAACCACTCTCATTTTTCGAGTCGGATATATAAAAATGTTTGTTACCGGCAAAGTTGTTCCTGCAAAATTTGAATTTTCGTATTTAATTCGTAAAGGTGCCACGCCTCCTATTTCTAGACCTGCCGTGCTTTCTCTAAAATGTTAACGTGTAAAATTTGAGGATTCATATGGGAGGTGTAACGCTCCCTATTATATATTCCATATGGATTTCAATGTTGCCCGTACAAAATTTGAGAATACAATCTCTGATGGTTTCCCAGATATACGAATTTTTGTATATGGGAGATGCCACGCCCACTAGTTTAATCCGCCCATATTATTCTGAATATGCATACTGTTATATTTTCTCATATATACTGAGTTAATATTTTCTTTTTGTGGGAGTTGGCAATCTTACTATAACTGTTCTCCCATTGTGTCGCCAAATGTATGACTATAATAAGCCTATGCAAGTAAATAAGCGATAGGCTTCTGTAATACGAATATACGAATTTTTGTATATGGGAGATGCCACGCCCCCTAGTTTAATCCGCACATATTATTCTGAACATGCATACTGTTATGTTTTCTCACATATACTGAGTTAATATTTTTTTTAAATGGGAGTTGGCAATCTTACTATAACCATTGTGTCCCCAAATGTATGACTATAATAACCCTATGCAACTAAATAAGCAATAGCCTTCTGTAAACTAAGATAAATTGCTTAATAAAGAATTAAACGTAATAGTAAAGTTGATTTTAAATTTATTTTTAACAAATCCAAAAACAACAGTGATACAAATTTAAAAGCAACTAAAGTCCAAAAATTCTCTATAAAATAAACAAAAAAAATATGTTCTTAAAACTAATTTTCGATTCTTAAAAACAATAAAATAGTTTAAGACAAATAAATGTTAATAATTTCTAAAACACGTGTAAACACTATCAACATAATATTATACGTCAACAAAATTTTGTATAATTTAATTGTCTTCTGTTTAAATCCTAATTAATTAATGCGTATATTTCCTAGATATTTTTTCTTATATGTACATATGGATGTAAATCTAAGAAATTTATTTTAAATTTCATCGTCATTATTCAAATTGACTTTGACGGCTAACTTGCACTTTAGCCATGCACATTTATTATAATAACAATAACAAATGTTATATTATATCTTAGATTTTTATTTTTCTTCTCTCTCACTCACTCTCTTTATCTAGATTTTTTGAAAATACATATGACGCACCAATTTTAAAAAATATTTTATTTTGCAAATGTTTAAAGAAAAAATGTATATAAGTATATAGATACATATATTTTATAAAATATATTTAAAGAAACAACAGCTGATCTTTAAAAGAGAGAGAGAGAAAAGCATACATATTTGACGTGTAAGAAAAAAGACCATTAATGAGCAAACAATGTAGGTCTTGAACTAGAAACCGCTAAAGACTGTACACGAGCTACTAGTTAACAATTATGTACATATGTTTTGAAAGTTTAAGTTAAGTTCAAGGTTTTTAACTGACTGCATAGTGTATAAAATGACTGACATCAAATAGACTTACCTAGTGACCTAGTGTTTGTGTTATACTTAGATAATTGTTATATCAATTAGTTTTTTAAAGATGTGTAAATTGGTTTCAAATAGATTTAAAAATATATTCTAATGAATCCTTCTTATGATCTAGTTATTATGTTTACATTTCCAACGAATTTGAAAAGTTCGTATCTAAATTTTTCGGAAATACATATGTTAACAGTATTAAAAAATTTTCGAACATATCTCGAAAAATTTGTATTTTGAAAATACATTCATCAAATTTTTAATATATTAACAAAAGTTCGAAAAATTTAACTCAAATAAAATTAAAAATATATTTTTATAAATCCTTATGATTTATAGATTATTTAAATAGTCGAAAATTAAACAAAAAAATTAAAATAAAATTTGTTTTAGGTATCCTCATGGTTTAGAAAATGTTTTGAGGGGATTACAAATTTTTCAAACATAAGTTCGAATTTTCGAAAAATTTTTGAAATTTTCTTTAAATAAAAATAAAATTAAATTATTTTGATAGATTTACGAACTTTTTTAATATAATTTCGTATTATCGAAAATTTAAGATTTTTTAAAATAGAAATTCGAACATATTTTCGGATTTTTCGGCAATTTAAGAAATTTTCCTAAAATAAAACTAAAATTTTATTTTTATGAATTCTCGTAATTCAGAGATTATTTTGAACATAATTACGAATTTACTAATACCATGAATGGGCAATTCGTGTCAAAATCGATTTGGATGAAATTTTCTCTATCGGTCAAGAACTGCCGTACTTGAGGGGGTCAAAGTTGGACATTTTGGTCATACAGGGATTTATTCAAAAGAGTGTAACTTTTCACCTGTTGGTCCTAGCAAAAATTGTCCAAAGGAGTTCTGATAGCTATTTCTTCATTGTTTTTTCAAAAAACTCTCTTAATAAATTTAAATTTACATTCGAATTTTCCAAAATCTGAAATGTTAAAAATTGTTTTAATAGCTTTAAAATTTTTCGAACATTTATTCAAATATTAGATAGTAAAAATGATTCGAACATAACTTCGAATCATAGAACATAATATGACATTGACATCAGGTGTATTTATCAATGTCAAAATTCGGGAACTGGTTCTAAATTCAATTACAATTGACTCCCAACAACCATTAACTTTTCAAGTTAAATCAAATCTTGTAAAAAATCTAACACAATTATAAAAGTACTTTACTGAAGAAAAACTTGCGGTTATTATAATATAAACTGAATCATTAACAGAAATTGCATCGAATCATTTCAAAAATCCATATTGTTCATGATGCTTTTTAGTAAATTTAAATAAAATGGACTTTGATCTTGGAATTTTGCTACTTTTAAATACATATGTATGTACATCTCTATTTAAAGAAGGCCAACAAAGTTTTAGCGATTCATTATACTTTCCGAAAAACTATACTAAAAACGACTTCTGTTTGGTAATCGTTTTCGTGTACACGCTTTGTTACACATATACAAAAACTAAATACAAATTAAATACTCTCATACTCACGTGAGTCAATATGAGTGACGCATTATTATCAAAAAAAAAAACATTTTTCTCTCGGTTAACTAATAAACCTACATACACGTACTTTTACTTCCAAACATTTCTAATTTCGAACGTATTCAAAAAAATAGTGAGAGCTAAAAGTTATACTTTAAACAACCTGTCAACGTGCTAATAAACTTTAACCAGTTTAATAAAGTTCTTAACCAAGTTTTTCTTCCGTTGAGATTGGTGAAACTCTTATAGCGGTTCTGTTGCTCGCTCTCTCTCTTTCACTGCTTGTTGTTAATAGCTTTAGAATTAATTATTTTTTTTTTTTTTTAATTTGACTTTATCGCGCCATACCGAATCATTACCGACTTCCATGTGTGTATGAAAGCTGGCAAATACAATTTTTACGATTATTCATCATTCGTCTGAGTATTTTTGTACGGTTTAAACGTAATTTTTTGTTTAATTGTTAAAAAAAAAAAAGTGGTTTTTATATAATAAACAAATATTTTTGTTAAATTAAAAGAAAAATTTGTTAATTGTTTAGCTAATTTATTTACAAAATTTAAACAAAATGTAAGTTTTCTTTAATTTAACAAAAACTTAACTAAAAGTTGAAATTTTAAGAATATTTAAACATTTCTAATAAATAAAATAAAACTTAAAGAAAATATTGTTTATAAAAAAAAAAACGACTAAAGTAAAATGTTTGTGAAATAAAGAAAAATCTAACAAAAAGTGTTGAAAATCCAAAGTGCCGAACAGCAATTTTATATTATACAATAAAATGCTTTCAAATAAATTTATTTTCGCACTTTAGCTTGTTCTAGTTTCTTATTTATTGTGACTGCAAGAAATTGTCTGTAATTGCCAAAAATCAACTGCATCGATCGGTCAGTGCACTTAATGCCAAATCAATGTTTATTTTTTGACATTGAAATAGCAAGGATGTTTAATTATAACATGGGTTTGGCCCTAAAAATACTTAGCCCCCCTTTGAATAGGGAAACATTATTTCGTATTTGCAATTTTCTAAGAAATTGACCTAACTTATTGTTAAATTTGTTTACTGTTTACCACACTCTTCATAAATAAGTAATCGTTTTTATTGTTTTTCTTTATAATGATTGATTTTTTTCTTTTTTTTTCTATACAATTGCAG